GCTCACACAATCACCGACTGTTGTTAAGTGTGCTCCTCGCGCGAGTAGAGGACGTCCCACACAAACCTTTCACTCTGCACCGGACACCCAAGTGTGTGTGAATATCGCACACTTGTAGATGTGTGAACGCCATTCGTACACATAAAGGCCTAAGTGTGATTTTTTAAAGGAAAATTCACACCTTTATCCGCTCAAGTGTACGAATGGGGAATGGGCATTCACACACCTGCAAGAGTGCGACATTCACACACTTGCGTTCCCAGTGTGGTGAGAGAGCGATGAGCGAACAGCAGTGATGTTAGGTTAGGTTGGGTTAGGTTGATGCAGAGACACCTTTCGGGGGGTGAAGTGTGTTGCGGCACCTGTAGTAGTCGTAGTTAGTTCTCTGGAATGAAAAGTCCCCAGTCAGGCAGCGGTACCCGCGAGTAGCGCCCTCACCTCCCCGGGGCGCAACACGAGGCGAGGAGGGGCAGGACCCCTGTCCGCTTTTAGAGCTACGGGGATGAGGTCCCGGCGGAGCACGGGGAGGAGGGGGACGAGCTTCATGATGGGGCTGCAGGAAATGTCCGGACACCCACGCGACACCAGCGCGCCATGGTTACTGCCGCCTCCTCCACCCCGCGCTGCAGCCGAGGCAAAGAATTGGGAGGAGGAGGGCGAGGCAGCAGGCACATCAAAACAAAGCGAAAGCAGCTGCTGCCGCCCTTCACCACGTTCCCTTGCTCTAGCTCGCTCTCTCTCTGTCTCTGTCTCTCTCGCTGTCTCTTTCACTATCTCGCGTACACTTGCCCGCACTCTCTCGCTCTCTCCCTCTCTTGCTCTCCCCTGTCTGTTTCTGCCTCTCTCTGTCTCTCGCTTTCGCTCCCAGCCCCCCGTCTCGCCCACTCCCCCTCGCCCTCAAACTCCCCCTGTTTCGCAGCGTATAAAGGACAAAAAAGAGTCGCACAAGTCTAGTGCTTATCCAGACCCCACCCGGCCCCGCCACCACTCCCCTCCCCTCCCCGGCCCAGTCACTCTTGATTCGTCTCATCCGGGGGGACAGCTTAGATCAGGCGACACTGCCACCAACAACAGCAGTAAACGACACAAGGAGAGCCGCTTGGGTCGCCGTCATCCCTCTCTGCTCCCCTCTGACTCCTCACTCTCTCTCTCCTTCTCTCTCTGCTACTCACCGTGCACAGTGAGGTGCGCCTCCTTCGACTCCCTGCTGCCCGCGATGTTGGTCGCCACGCACTGGTAGATGCCCCTGTCCGACGTGTGCACGCTCTCGATGGCCAGGTTGGATCCGTCTGCCAGACGAAAACTGTAACAGAATAGAAATAGGTCAAAAATAGGTCCACTTCTGAACTTCGTCATTCCTCGATATAATAATATATCACTAATAATTCGTAATTGAAAATGCCGAGTATTATTCATCAAATTTGGGTACGAACTGTTCATAGTTGTATAACATCAAATTATTCATAACATCACGAGTGTCAGAATATCACGATGTCAGGAGTTTGTTTCAAAAAGTCTAAAGACCGGGATCAATTCGTTCAGTATAAAAATTCTAACAAACTGTTGGCTATTGGACGAATGCATTTCTTTGCTTGAAATTACGAAGAGTTTGTGTAGAAAACTAACTTAATATTTTTTCGTCAAATCACGATATAATTTCCAACAGTGTCATTGCAGGCGTCTCAATAATTTTCGGCTGTGGTATAGTGGGGCGTGGGGAGAACGCTTGTGTCGAATCGATAGTCGGTCTCGAACGGTTGGCCGACGAAACGCGGAGCTGCGGTAGAATAACATGCCATATCAATTCAGGAACCGTCGGATATGTATATAATGGAAACTTCTGGCAGCGAGCGGCCAGCCCTTGTTACGCGTGTTTGACGCACACATATAGACACGAAGACACACAGATTCTCCGCCTCTATCGAACACACTGGTGGCCTGCGGTCGCGGCGGCTCGCTTGTTTGACTTGTTCGATGGGCCTCGACCCAGCTCGCCCCGTCGCCCCTGCCGACGTATCTCCATCCATCCAGCCCCTCGCTGCTATAGTGGTACCTCACTCAATGCCTCACACCAGCCAGGTAGAAAACGCACAGCAAAGTGGACAAAACGGATTAAAAAAAAAAACGTCGGCGTTATGCACACGGTACAGCATGCTGCCCGGCGATGCGCGGGGGTTGACAATGCGAGTACTCGCGCGGAACCTCCTCGCACTTGACTAATCGGGGGCGGGGCCGGTTAATTTTGTTTCTAGCTTAGCATTTCTGTTTCATAGTAACGTTTAAAGTGCAATGGGCATGAAGTGAGTGTGAAAAATTGTGCATTACTTTTTTTACTGCCAACATTTTGACGGGAATATCGGCCGGGGTGGAGCTAAAAGTCAAAGCATGATGAAACACGAACACTCAAGAAATGAGAGCGTCACGAGACGTGAGACACGTTTGAATAGTTTTTCCCAGTGCGAGCGCGGCACGAAGCGAACCGACAGGTTGTTCACCGTCGTCTCTGCTCGCCCCGCACCAGACGACTTAGGGACAACGAGGCAAACCACTCCGTCCTGGTGCATGGCGGGGTCTTCTCGTTAGACAAGGGGGGCGGGGGGAGCGGGGCCGCTTCAGTGCGCTCCCGTCCCGTTCCGCCGCTCCGCCCC